TTTTTTCTTTTTTGAGACGGAGTTTCGCTCTTGTTGCCTAGGCTGGAGTGCAGTGGCGCGATCTTGGCCTCCCAAAGTGCTGGAATTACAGGTGTGAGTCACCATGCCCGGCATTTTGTTTGTTTGTTTGTTTAGTTGGTTGGTTGGTTTTTTTTTTTTTGAGACAGAGTTCACTCTCCCGCCCAGGCTGGAGTGCAGTGGCGCCGTCTTGGCTCACGGCAATCTCCGCCTTCCAGTTTCAAGCGATTCTCGTGCCTCAGCCTCCCGAGTAGCTGGGATTACAGGCGTGCACCACCACACCCCGCTAATTTTTGTATTTTTTAGTAGAGACGGAGTTTCACCATGTTGGCGAGACTGGTCTTGAACTCCTGACCTCAGGCAATCCACACGCCTCAGCCTCCCAAAGTGCTGGGATTTGACAGGCGTGAGCCACTACACGCTCCACCTAAAAACAACTTTTAATAGAAATAAGCTAGAATTTATCAGAAATAATCTTTTCAATATGTATTTTCACTTCTGATTTACGATAGATTTTTGTAGTATTTTGAAGGATATCATTGTCAAAATGGTATCAGTGTCTCAAAGCAACAAAGATTTCTCTAAGATTATCAGCTTCTCATTTTATAGAATTATAGCTATGTTTAGTTTAGAGATCTTGATCCAATTCTGGTATCAATTCAGTACTTGGAATTTTGTTTTATAAAATGCACACTTATTTTTAAAAATTTAGTTTTTAATATATTTTTACTACTAGAACATCAGTTTATAGTACTTACTCTACCTAAAATTATAAGATAGCTATTAATGAGTTTTTTTCTCTCCCTTTCCAGCAAGTTTCCTCCAAGCCTTTATGCTACCAGGATTTCTAAAGCACACCAAGAGGAAATAGCAGGTGCTTTCCTAGTGACACTGGATCCACTTATCAGTCAGCTGCTCACATTTCAACCTTTTGTGCAGGTGGTTTTAGATAGTAGATTAGGTAAGCTTCAAAACAGATTTAATGGTAAATCATCTGTTACGACATGTTAGAGACAGTGATTTCCCCTAACCATTCCTTTTTACAATTAAGAAATTTTTATTAAGTTTCTTTTAGTTTCTTTTCTTGAAACATATTTCTTATTTAAAAATTATACCTGACTGGGCACAGTGAATCATGCCTGTAATCCCAGCACTTTGGGTGACCGAGGCGGGGAGATCACCTGAGGTCAGGAGTTCAAGACCAACCTGACCAATATGGTGAAACCCCATCTCTACTAAAAGTACAAAAATTAGTTGGGTGTGGTGGCGTGTACCTATAGTCCCAGCTACTTGGGAGGCTGAGGCAGGAGAATCGCTTGAACCCAGAAGGTAGAGGTTGCAGTGAGCTGAGATCACACCACTGCACTCCAGGCTGGGTGACAGAGTAAGACTCTGTCTGGGAAAAAAAAAAAAAAAAAAATTCCTCTATGTATTAATCAGGTTTCTGCTGAATTAATGTGTTTTTATTACATGTAAGACCTGCCATGTGAACTACAGTTTCCACAATGTCTTCTTCTGGTTGTTGTCATGGATAAGCTGCCATTT